ACTGGCTCTAACTCTCCAAATTGGCCCTTTAGGTAGGAGGACAGAGAGGCTAACTTTGTAAAAAGCCTTATTTTTGCACTGTCAACATCTCCCAGGAAGCAAAACAGTACAACGCAAAGCTAAAACAATTCCATCCCTCCTTTCAATACAAGATGTGACCAAGTTTGGGCAATCTATACATTAAAATTGCTCTCAAATCTAGTGTTGCTCGTTTATCTCACATCCAGTGTTCCAGTACAAGCCCTTGTCATTTACACTCTGGAATGTGACTGCTACTCCCTGCTAACTCTTCTTCTAACCCCAACCCATACGGAGAGAGCAGCCTCTCTAAGCTACATCTGATCATCTGTGGCTCCCCATTGCCCTGGGAATAGCATTCAAATTCCTCCCCGCAGAATACGAAGCCTGCCACCATCTGGTTCCAAGCAATCTTTCCTTCCTCTGGCTCTAAACTTCCCCCAGCCTACTGTGGTTTTTCCTGCGTTCCCATATGTTAACTTCTGCAGACCCCTTACTCCCTGCCTTTATTCAAGCAGTTTCCCTGCCAGGAATTCCTTTTGCTTTCTTAACCAGACATCTGTGTCCTATATTATCCTCTGTTTAAAACTGGTTTTTCTAGTTGCCCTCTTTCAACAAGTTATTATGTATTTTTATTTTCCTTCCCTAAAGCTCCCTTGGCATGACGCTGACTACTTCCTCCGTCTAATCCTGCCTCCTCTCCTCCTCTTCCCAGATCTCTATTCTGTATGCCGCGGTCCTTCCTTTACACCTAGAGCATTTCTTCCACCCATGTCCTGGGCCTCAGCCTGTAAACCATCATTATAGGTGAGTCCTAGACAGGTTAAGACTCCCTGTGACATTCTGTCTTATCATATGTTAATCCTTCTCTCATAAACGTCACATTCGAAGTGAATGAGCAGTTGTATGATTTTTGCCTGCCCTGTTGGACTTAACACTTGGGAGGTCAGGGGCAATGACCGATCTTTTGCTTTGCATGGAAATTGTCTGGACTTGTGTGGAACTTAGTAGCTATTCACTATTTATTGGAAGACATCAAGCTGCCTAAATATAATAATGATATAAATGAATATAACATTTAAAGAAATATTATTATAAATATTATTTATCACAATAAAAGTATATTGATAACATAATTACAAATTGCCAAGCTGACATCATTTTCTGCATTAAATGCCTTACTCAAAAGAATGTGTCTTCATAAAAAATCACGATTTGGGAAAATTTTTAACTCATGGGAGAAAAGGCATGTTTTGATTTTTTTCAATTTCTGAATTATAGAAGGTTATGAAGTTCTGTTTATTTTAAATTTATAGATTTGACATGTTATGTTTAATGGATACAATAATTTAATTTTTTATTCATGTATAAATTTTTGCTAAAGTATTTATAGCACTGCTACCTAATTAGCTAGATCAAACATGTCTCCTTAATATATGATTGGTGTTTTCATTTGACTTATCAAGTAGTTTTAAACTAAATACCACAAAAAATTAAGTACAAATTCAAATATTTTTACTCAAATTTCACCAATTCCAATCGAAAGGATGTCTGTTGGGGCATTTAATTACCTTTAAGCGTGTAACACACTACAAGGTACATTTCAGTCAATGAATATAGTCTTGGTGTGGAAAAAATATTTGTTACAGCGCCTATTTTAGAATAGAAGCTCTTTGAAGATAGGGAAGGTTTTAGCATTATTATCACAGCTACATTTTTTTAGTACATTGCTCAGGGCAAACACCAATAAAAGTCACTAGGTTCTGTCGGAACTTTGGACAAACGGCTAATTATTATCATGGTCCCTCTCACTTGGCATCTTATGGAGAGATATCATTGGGCTCATGGGTAGCTGGGTATCATGTGATTCTGTGCTCCAGCCAAAGGCCCCATACTCTTCTATTTCATGCAACAAACATGAGAGCAACATTGCATGGGTGCCATTAACATTTAGGCTGGGATATTAAGAGGTCTGAGGTAAGACACCAATGATTTAGGGCAGTTCTAAGACATGCCAGCCTCCCAGCACAGCACATGGAAAACTTGGATGCTGTGGGTCTGCAGGAATCGGGCTCAAGCACAGACCTTTTTTTCTGGGAGGAGCCCAGCACACTTATATCACCAGGCAACCTGGGGTGAGCCCTAAGGCACCTAATTCGGAATTCTGGCAGCCAGCACCATGCACATCTTCTTTGTTTATAAACCCTTGTTTTCATGATGACCATGTCGAGACTGGGCTCAGAATACGTCTCTCCTTCTTTCTGTAATGAACTGGATAGATGGTGGCCTGGAAACTTGACTTGTTAGCCAATCAGGAGAAATTGGTTTTTATGTGATAATTATATGAGAACAGAAATAAATAAAAGGGAAAAAAAACCAACTACTCTTTTTGTGACTCACCTGTTCCATCCTCTATTCCTATATCGCCCCTATGAGGTAGGCATGAATGGCCCCTTTAAAACTAGAAATGGAGAATCAGGTTAAATAAGTGACTCAAGCCCTCATTACTGGTAAAGGCAGTCCTTTCTGAATCCAAAACCCATTTGTTGGGCTGATCTTTCTATGGTTCCCTTTGGAGTTATCAAATGTAAAAACAAACAAACAGAAACACAGTTTGCTGTTATGAGAAATACCCAAAGAGTATGTGTCAATTGTTATCTGTGGGCCCAAGACAATGCGTCTACTGCGTTATTCTCTTACCCTTATGTGATCATCCACTAATTATTAGTGGATTTTCTGCTCAAAATCGAATTAAACCACAAATCAGGAGCTTTCAAACTTTTTTAAATTAGTGGAATCCATTTTTAAATTAAAGAATAAATCAGAAGCCCTACCTTCTTTTCTTCATAAAAAAAGGTACCCTTAAACTGCCTTGGAAGAATGGTGCTTATAGGACAATGCTAAGTGAAATAAGCCCATCAGAGTACCATATGATTTCACTCATATGTGGAATCTAAGGAACAAAATGAACTAACAAGCAAAAAAGAGACAGACTCGTAGATAGAGAGCAGGCTGACAGCTTTGGGGGAGGGGCTGGGTGGAGGCGGGTGGAGGGATTGAGTGAAAAAGAAAAAATAAGATGAAGAACTCATGGATATGGCCAACATGTGGTGATTGCTGGGTGGGCGGGGGAAGAGGTGGAGGAGAGGGCATAAGAGGTATAAATGGTAATGAACAGAGACTTGACTGGGGTTGATGAACACACAATGCAATGTACAGATGATGTGATGTAAACTTGTGCACCTGAAACCTGTACAATTTTGTTAATCAGTGTCACTCCAATAAATTCAATAAAAAGGAAAACAAACAAACCATGGGATTTGAAAGCCACTGCTTTAGCCAGAAAATTTACTACAGGAAACAAATGAGTATGGCCTGCTGTGAGTTTTCTCGTCTTCCCAGGAACTCAGTCTCAGACAGAAGGCCATGCCCTGTAGGAGAAGTGACAGCAACTCACAGTCTATTGGCTGTGCAGCAGCAAAAGAAAGACAACATTAGTTCTAAAGTTTCAGCTCACAAAATGGGAGCCTCACCTCATTACCCCTGGATGCCTGTTACTGCAACTCAATTGTATGGTGTACAAATGTTTATGTCATAAAAATTATACTCTCTATATATCATGTTGAAACTGAACTAACCTCGCCCTGACAATAAACTCTTATGAAATCACATGGATTTGCCGTTTGACTCCATTTGTCTTCCTGACCCATTAATAGTGCATTTATCATCAAATGACCTTAGAATGATTTGCTGCTGTTTGCTTTCAGCGTTGGAGGTGACCAAGGTGCTGACATTAGTTGGTGAATCTCACCATGAGGCAGAGACTGCAGACACAGAAGCTACACAGAGTCTCTGAAAGAGGAAAATACGAGATTTAGCTGAAAGCAAATAGCAAAACAGAAAGTGAAATTACTGAATCAATTTAGGCTTTTTGTGGTGTTTTGGCTAATTTGAGGTGGCAAACACAGCTCCTTTTCTTGGCAACAACAAGGTTCAGCCTACCAGTATTATCTTATCCTGCATCATTGGGTTTTACGCACTGAATTTGTCCCTAAGGTCTCACATGGAAATAAGCATTGTGACTGTCTTTATCATTAGGAGGTAAGAATAATAATTTTGTGATACCAGTGTTGCCTTGGCTCAAGGTTATTATATAAAATGCAGCAAAGATATCTAGCCCCTTCAATTTGGCAGGTTAATCAGATAGTCTTTGCAAGGACTATAAGCTCAGACATCATCTCTCCATGGGCCCCTTCAGCCATTACACCCATGCAGTCCCTTTTGTATTTAAAACAACACCAAGAACAACAAAACAAAAAACGTCCACTCTTCTGTTCCTTCTAAGATTCGTCCAGTTTCTTTCTTCATAGCCAAACAATAAGCCAACTCTTAATGCCTTCTTCATACCACCAACTTCATCCTGGATTCTGAACCTTGACTTCTCTTTCTACCCTCATCTAATTCTCCGCTTCCAAACAAGAGCACAGTGTGCTTGCTGCATCAGGAACTCCATGGATACCTTGAGATTTCAGACTGTTTACAGAGGGTCGGGACTGGTCCAGAGTTCTTGAAGTTGTGTCAGAAGCATTAATGCAAGAGAGAGGAAACCATATCTAGGCAGACAGTCCACCTGAGTCATAAATTCTAAGGTGGACGCTAAGCAGAACAAGGGCACTCTGGGAATAAGGAATGAGGAAGGAAACCTGAGATCCAATGTAGAATCTCTGTTCCTTTTGAAAATTTTATTTATTTTTATTTTTTCTAGTGTTTCTCCCTATATAGCACTAATCCCATCATAAGGACTACAGTCTCATGACCTCACATCATAATATGCTCACATGGGGGGGTTGGGGGTCTCAACAAGAATTTGGGGCAATGCATTCAGTCTATAATATTCTGAAACCTTGTACAAGCTACATAATAATGCTGAGACTATAAAAAGAGGATTAATAATATCTCCCTCAAAGAGTCATCTTAGGAGCCCGGCCTCTGATCCCAGGAGGAGGGTGGTGAGCTGCCCAGAAACCCAGGCAAAGGCTGTTCCCAGCCATTGGGTGTGGCCATCAAGCCAGACTTCGTCACCAGCTCTGGGCATGGCTGCCCCCAACTCATGGGCCTCCAGACACCCCGGCTGCAGTCCCTGTGGCCAGAAGGCAGATGCCTCCCCTCCAAGAACCCATGAGGCAAGGTGACCAGTCGGCCCAGGTGCTCTTGGTCCTTCACATTTTATAAAGGGCCCCAGGCCCAGAAGATGCCACCATGATGTCAAGGCATCTGGACACCAGGACACCTGTGTTCACTTGTAAGCCTATTTTAAGATTATTGACAGATGTGGGAACTTCTAGAGGAAGACGACAAGGTTAGGAAATGTCTGGAAGCCATGTGAATGGGTGAACAACTACTACAAGTAAGGTTGCTAGATTTAGCAAGTAAAAATTTAAGAATCCCAGTAAAATCGGAATCTTAGATTTAAAAAAACAAATCATATTTCAGCATAAGTATGTGCTGTGCAATATTTGGGGTCTACTCATAATAACAAAGCATTTCTTGTTTATCTAAGATTCATATAACCAGGATCCCTGGCAATTCTCTTGTTGGCGACAGTGCATACACATGAGGCAGAAATGTAACATCATAGTCATGAACGCATATGTGTATTTATACTTAAACAATATGAATGGCTGGGTATAAAAATTCTGGAGTGAGCAATGGAAAAGTTCAGAATTAGGTGGCAGTATTTGGAAAGAATTCCTCTACTTTCTATGAACAGCTCTGGGCATGGCTGCCCCCAACTCATGGGCCTCCAGACACCCCGGCTGCAGTCCCTGTGGCCAGAAGGCAGATGCCTCCCCTCCAAGAACCCATGAGGCAAGGTGACCAGTCGGCCCAGGTGACCAGGGTGGGGCCCACTGAGCACTGCTCTGCCCAGTAGGACCAGCTTCTTTATGATGGACTCCACTTCTAAGACGGGGCCGTCTCTGGTGCAGTTATTAAACGACTGAGACTACATGGGACACGAAAACTAAACTGACCTGTTGGTGGGAAAGGTTTGGGAGAGGATGGGTACACGGAGGCTCTGGGAAGCTCTGGTTCTTAACCCTGGTGGTGGTGGGTTTAAGAGTGTTCGCCTTATACGTTTTTGTATGGTTCCTCTTGTCAGTTGTCTTAAAATAAAACTCATCTGCCTAAAAAAAATAAAAATAAAAAAAAGAGTCATCTTAAAGGACTGCTATGATGCTTAAACGAGATACTGCAGAAATAGTGTTTAGAATGGTGCCTCATACACAGCAAGAGCTGGAAAAATATTTTGTTCCCTCAAGGAAATATATAGCTATTTCTTTCTGAGGTAGTACTTAAATAAAGGGGTAAATACAACCAATAATGCCTAGGGGTGCATGCGTACAGTCTCCAGATGAGAGCGAAAAGGCTCATCTCTGCACTGTTGGTTCAGCTCTTGGTCCTTCACATTTTATAAAGGGCCCCAGGCCCAGAAGATGCCACCATGATGGCAAGGCATCTGGACACCAGGATACCTGTGTTCACTTGTAAGCCTATTTTAAGATTATTGACAGATGTGGGAACTTCTAGAGGAAGACGACAAGGTTAGGAAATGTCTGGAAGCCATGTGAATGGGTGAACAACTACTACAAGTAAGGTTGCTAGATTTAGCAAGTAAAAATTTAAGAATCCCAGTAAAATCGGAATCTTAGATTTAAAAAAACAAATCATATTTCAGCATAAGTATGTGCTGTGCAATATTTGGGGTGTACTCATACTAACAAAGCATTTCTTATTTATCTAAGATTCAGATATAACCAGGATCCCTGGCAATTCTCTTGTTGGAGACAGTGCATACACATGAGGCAGAAATGTGACATCATAGTCATGAACCCATATGTGTATTTATACTTGAACAATATGAATGGCTGGGTATAAAAATTCTGGAGTGAGCAATGGAAAAGTTCAGAATTAGGTGGCAGTATTTGGAAAGAATTCCTCTACTTTCTATGAAGAAATTAATCCACACTACTGTAAGCAAGAAATAAATATTAGCACAGAATTTCCTAATATCTTCAGCCTTTAGTCTATGGTGATCTTAGGATTCCCAGAGGTAATCATAGGATAATTTTCCCAAATCCACAGTGTTTGCTATAGTCTGTCCTCATCTCTCACAATTGCTGGTTCAAGTCAGGGGTATTATCATGGTCAGTCTTGGACTCTTCTCACTTACTTCCCAATGGAATGAGTCTTAGATAATCCATCTTTTCTTCATAATAAATGAAGAAATCCCTCATTAGAAATTCCTTTCAGTTTCTGGGGCAACACAACCTTCTTAAATTTCCAATTTGCCACACAGTTTTTCATTAATATATTATATAGGTCATTACAATATAAATTTCCAAACATGATAATGTAAAGAAACTATCAGCAAAGGAACAGATGACCTTTATTTTGCAATCTATTTGGGATAAAGTCCACATCGCTCAGCTTTTCTCTAACTTTCATGATGAGAAAAACAAACTGTGAGGAGACACCTTACTCAAGAAAACTAAGCGAGGTTTGGCTGCCACCATGACTGCCAAAAATTAACTCTGAAATTTCAAAGTAAAACTCTGGTAAACTAAACATTTCCCTTCTCAACTTATCTGATTGGCAATATTCAGAGGGGTCCACACAGACCAGCTGGGCAAGACCTTTCTCTCGCAGGACTGGTAAACAAGGTGACAAAAACACAATTTTCACCATAATGAACTGAAGAGGACAACACATTCTCTCCCTCAAAAGCAGCAATAGGGCAGAGCAAAGCTGTCCAAACAACCAGTTCAGGGCTCAGGAAACTGGCCAATGACACCAAACCAACAGAGACGCAGTCATTCATGAAACTTTTGGATTTATGATCAAAACAGAGCATCCTTGTCCTGCACTCCCCACTCCCCACTTCCTGTGGTCTTTCAGCCAGTACAGGGCACGTGGTGACCACCAGCAGCTTTCCTTCCACTCTGACTGCAGACGGGGATTCCCTTAAGTGAAATAGTGACCTCAGTGTCAAGGAAACAAAACCAGCAGCTCCACGAACCTATAGTCCTGTTTGGGACAGGGAATGGATTAGTGGCCTAGCCACTTACAGAGAGTTCTGGGAAGTCAAACAGCCATTGAGGCTTAAAGGCTGTTCCTTCATCAGGTTAACCGGAGGCTGTGCATCTGCAGGAGAGAGATCTGCACACACAAAGGGGTCACTTGCAAACAGGATCCAGGAGGTTCTCTGAGGTGAAGGAAATATTCTAAAACTGGCTGAGGTCTTGACTCTAGAAATTTACTGAAACTAACTCTATAAATTAAATTATAAATTCCCTCTATAAATTTGCTGAAACTAATTGAATTGAACATTTACTGTGGGTAATTTTTATGGTAAATAATTTAACCTAAATAAAGCTGTAAAGAGTTTACATAGCTCATAAAAACATATAACAATTCAAAATGAAGATCCCAATCTAGATATCTGAATATCAAATGACTCTGAAGAAAATATATGAATAAGATAGGCCCTATTTAAAAGATTTTAAATTAATATATTAATTTTTTAAAGTATCATAAAGTATTAACCTTTAATATTATTATATACTAGAAATTCAAGGACAGCTTTTCCCAACGTAACTTTCTTAATGATGGAAATACATAGACGTCCAATATGTTGGTTCCTATTTAGAATATGTTGGCTTTTGAGTACATGAAATGTGGCTAATGTGATTGAGAAACTAAACCTTTCATTCTATTTTATTGTAATTAATTTAAGTTTAAATAAGCATTTTTCACTACTGGCTACCTTATGGGATAGCACAAGTCTAGCAAAAGCCCATATTTTCATATGGAAAATAATATATAATAATTAATAAATAATGTTATAAGAATAAGCTCTGTTTCCTGTACTCACAAATGTAAACCTACTCTGGCCCTACCCTGCACATAATTTAGTTTAGAGAAAATGATCATTTTAAAACAAAGGGAAAATAATATAGGTAATTATTTCTATCTGCCTTTTTAAGGCTTGCAACTCAAGAAATTCAAATTAAGGTAATGTGGTACTATTTTTACTCACTTAAATAGGCAAAAGAAAAATATTACCCATTTTTAAACAGATCATTTGCTAATAAATGAAGGAACTTGTGCACTTAATTTTTAAGACATTCTTAATTGAATGATCGAGGGATCTAGTTTATTGGGGGAAGTGGCTGTGCATATCAAATAACTTCAAATTATGCTTGTAGTTGACTCAGAAATTCCATTTGTAGGAAATAATTTAAGTATGCTCACTACTGTCTTTACAAAAACAAAACACTAGTAGAAAATGAAATATAGAAAAATAGAAGACTAGTAAAATAAATTACATCACTGTATGAGTAGAATTATAGAGTATTTTAACATTTATTGAACTTAAATATGTTTATTGTTTGTTAGTAAATGCAAATGTAGTTTTCACATTAGAAAATCTGATTTTATTTGTGATATCTCTGTCTATGTTTATCTGTCTCTATATCTAGAATCAAATAAATTAGCAGAGCAGCAGGGCTCATTTATTGGTGATGAAATTATGGGCATATCAATTAGAAATCTCTGTTGGCAAGCACACAAACCAATTCCAGTTATATTATGCAATCACTGTTTATTTAAGAAGACTGCAAAAACAGATTAACTCATATTGAACGGAACTGAATGGAGGGAAGGTGGAGAAGGAGGGAGAGAGAGAATAGAAAAAAACATATATTTAAAGAAGCACAAAAGATTAGGAGAATTATATGATGAACATAGCCAGAGGCCTCCTAATGGTTTAGACATTGTCCTTAGTTGCTGAACTATGAGATGGTCCCAGTCCAGGGAACCTATGGGGAAGAGCCCGGGCAGCAAGGGTCAGGGATATGGGGGAAAGTTCAAGAATCAGGTCAGAAGTGTTTCAGTATTTTAACAACCACTACAGCTGTACTAGTACAAACAAGCTACCAGCCAAGTCTATGTCTATAACAGTATGCATCCCATACTTGCTATTTCTTTTCTTCATGAGGTCTCTGTTCAATTTGTTAGAAGCATGTTTCAAATACTTTTCTTAGGAGAGAATGGGATATGTGGATTATTCTAAGAATTCTTGAAATTTCTCAAAAAATAGATAGGTAAAATAAATAAGAGATATATTTTCAAATAATATCTTTCCTGAATTTAGGACACTCTTGTTACAATCATTTAAAAAAATATGTAGATAGCTTTCCTCTGAATTTTAAATACAAATTTTGCAACTGAGGAATATGACAGCAGTCAAATTCTTTTTTAGGTACCTATTATTTTGACCTGGAATAGTATATATAACTTTATCCGGAGAAACTATGGATTTTACCATGTATGCCTAGAAAACTGTTCCTTTTCTGATGAATCTAGCCTAGAAGTATAAATGTGTTCAGTCTGTAGACTCTGAACTTTCTTCCTCAGAGTTAACTTGCCTCTGTTATCTGCTTAATCATTGCCTCTAGTCTCTCTGTTTTTTCTTCTACTTCTGAAATGCATATATTAATATGTTAAAGCTCTAGGTCTTCCGGGGCTTTTATCTTTTCCCTTATTATTTTCAGCTCCTTTCTAGTTTGCTCAGTGTTTTGAGAGATTTCTGGCACTTAATCACTCAAACAACTAATTGAGGTCTTAATAGTGTCCAGCCTGTTCTTCAATTAATATACAAAGTAGAAACCATGTTTTATAGTGCAAGAAAATCTCTTTGCTGCAGTATTTGAATTCCCATAGATGCATTACTATTTTTAAATTATGTTTTCCATCTGTCTTCCAGCAATTCCATTTCATTGGTTCTGATCTATTTTTTTTTTTGTCTTTTCTCTTTGACCTATGCATTTGCAACCCCACTCTATTATTGATGAATAGTGATTTTCCTTATGCCACTGGTCTAAGTAATGATTATTGGAATAACCTAAGTGGTGATGAAAAGTCACAAGCACTTTCCCACAGATTTGTGGTGGGGAGGCAAGACATTTCCCTGATAATAATGATCATCTTGTTACGTACTTATTTTCCTATCAGTGTTTTCTATCCTGTGAATTTCTCCTCCACTTTTATCCATTTTCACATTGTATTGCTTAGTGCAGTGGTTCTCAACATTCCTAATGCCACGACCCTTTAATACAGTACCTCATGTTGTGGTG